TTGAATGAAATTTTAAATATACCGTGTCTTTACAATGCCTGCATAGCTAATGAAAATTCAGCCTTCTAGTTTTATCCACAACGAAGTTACAGGCGGTCGAAAATGGCCTGAATTGCTTCGAGAAAAGGATGGTACGGCCGTGCCGCTTTTTTGCTCGACTTGGTGGGGGCACTGCCGTGCCCCCAGATAACTATGTAAATATAAATTTTCTGGAAAAATAACCAAGTTTGTGTCTCTGTGCTCAATAACGAGTAAATAGTGGACTATTAACAAATAACTGGAGTTATTTGTTAATTTTACTTGGAAAGTTTTCCGGAATTTTTGAAAATTGGTGAATAAATAGATTTCGCTATGTTCTTTCCGAATTTTGTGACCTCGTTTAATGTACCTGCTAAATTGCGCGTTCTTTTTTCTTTGATCATGGCAGGACACGATGCCGGGTGTCCTAAATATGCTGAAGTAAAAAAATTCGCGTTTCTGAAGTATACATTTTTTTTGTCTTGTTTGTTTCTACATTACATAATTGTATCCTACTAATATTATAAATGCGAAAGTTTGGATGTCTGGAAGTTTAAAATAAAGTAAAGTAATGTTTATTTCTCACCAACATAACAGATTAAATATCTGTGACACTAAATTTCACGCGGGTGAAGCCAAAGGCAAAAGCTAGTCGTGAAATAAATAGGAAAGTTTAAGGATCTGAAACGTGGTCGCTTACTATGGGCCTTATAAGAAGGCTCAAGGTCATCCAAAGGGTGATGGAGCGGGCTATGCTCGGGGTTTCCCTGCGTGATCGAATCAGAAATGAGGAGATCCGCAGGAGAACCAAAGTGACCGACATAGCACGCAGAATTGCTAAAATCAAGTGGCAGTGGGCGGGGCACATAGCTTGTAGAGACAATGGCCATTGGGGCAGAAAATTTCTTGAGTGGCGACCACGGCACGGGCTGGAAGACGTAGCGTGGGCAGGCCTCCTACTAGGTGGACCGACGATCTGGTAAAGGTCGCGAGAAGTACCTGAATGCGGGCAGCGCAGGACTTTTCATTATGAAAAACCCATGGAAAACCCAAAGGCCTCTCGCCTTTGTCCAGCAGTGGATGTCATTTGGCTGTAACGACAAAATAGGAAAGAATGTAATTATGAAAAATCTTCTCTAAGGCAGCATTTTTCCAATTTCGCAACGAGCGCGGCAATCACACTTAACTAACAGACTAACAGAGAGCATAGCGAAATCTATTTTAATCACCAATTTTCAAAACTCCCGGAACACTTTCCAGGTAACCACGTTAATTTGTACCAAACGACTGGACTATAATTTAATTGATATAAAAATTTGAGTAGATCTTCTCAAAAACAAAAGAACTGGTGCTTAAAGGGTTAAGTGACGTTTAGACATTTGTAGAGGGCCTTGTAGAAGGGGAGGCTATGGTGCTGAATGTGGATTAACTCGAGTGTCATAGTAACTTATTAGGCTGCTAAGCTTGATGATAAAACGAAAAATATTTTATTCAATGTACATAGTCTGGTCATAAGTTCTGTCATATGATAATAACTTTTGAATTTTGAATGAAGGTTTCAAAAACATTTTTTACTGAATTAGAATAAAAAAGAATAAATGTGCGATAGTTCGAATTTTATTGTATGTGTAGTGGACGCATAAAGATGTCCGAACTGCAGTTGTCACGTTGCATTGGTGCGGCTACGCGCCAACGCAGATTTTCGTTGTGCTGAAAAAAATTCGTTTATCTTTTCATTAAATGATAGGTATAGGTGTACCAGAATTTCATGGCAAACAAAAATATTGGAAACGTGTGTCTTTCATATTTCAAATGTCTATGGCTTTATTGTCACCTGTCAAAGTAAATCAAGTGAACTGTCAGTCGCTGCAGAAATTTTGTAATCTCTTTATGCCTATTTGTTATTTTTGTGAAAAAGTCAAAAAAGCTCAAGCAAGTCATATTGTTTTCAATGTGTATTGTAAAATAAGGCATAATTCAAAGTCAATCTTTGATTTTAAAGCGCGTCGTTAAGTTGACAATAAGTTGGAATGAAATTTGATACATTTAGTTTATTACCTAACTGCGTCAGAAGGAGGGTTTTTTTGTTTTTTTGGGTTTCAGGTGTACCTCACAAATTGGTGCAGAGGAATGGTGAAAATGTTATGACCATGTAAATAAAATTGAAAAAGATTTCATCAAGTAAGATAGAATAATTGAAATGCTGGAAGAGCAATTTATAATAAATACCTCTTGATCTTAATCATCTATTGAAGAAAAGTGGAATCCTTGGAATCGTTTTCTAGTTCTGAATGAAGTGATTAGTTTTAAGTATGATACATAATAAAATTAGTTACATAAAGTAATATACGATTTACTTATTTTTCAAGACATTTTCCTATTATTATTACTGAAGGGATTGCTACCATGTCCCTTAGTTTTGAGTTTCCAATATTTCGGCACTGTTGCAAGCGCCATGGTCACGGAGTAACTGAAGAAATTAAAACCAGACATCGTTCAGATGTGCGTTCAAAAGACCTGAGATTTAAAAAAATCCCGTTTTGTTTAAACAGTAAGCGAAAAAAAAGTGACTTGAAAATGGAATACAAAATGATAAGGTATGGTAAATGATAAGTCTTTATCAATGAAGAAGAAGAAGTTCAATTTCATGTGTCCTCCATCTAGGCTAGTTTCCATCGTCACTCAAAGTTTGGCTGCGGTCTCAAATTTGGGCTTAATTGAGGTATTTTTTTGGGTGAGAGGCATAAGAACTAATGCCATTTTATATCAAAAATTCATACTTAGAGGTACTCAACCAGTTACAAAGTATTTCCTTGTATGTTAGTCTGCCACTCTTTAGTAAGTCCCGAAATCCCCGCTTCGGCTCCCCTACTAACCATTCTAACCATTGTACACAGNTCGCCCTCTCGCGTTTGGGCCGGCTCCGCGAGTGCCACGCTTATTGTGTGCTCCAACGGAAATGTGAAATTTGGTGACTTTTTGGAAATGTTTTGTGTGTGAGGCCTCCACAGTACTTTGCTTGAAGTTAGTGACTCAAGTGAACCACCGAAGACACCGGGCGAAGCCCTAACTACCGGCCGGCGGCGTCCTACAGAGTACCTACCAGCAGCGCGGCGGCAGACAAGGTACCTGTTCGATTGTTGCTGTGTTTTGTTGATTGTGTTGTGCCTGGACGACACTGGGAAACTCATATTCGCTATCGAAGTAGTTAACACACTATTATTTTTAATATCTATTTTCTTTGATATTAAACTGATATTTAGTTATATTTTGAACTTATTTAAGAAACAAATTACAGTAAATAATTTAGCAATGTTATTTATTTAAGAAATTAAGAAAATTGACAAGTAGAACATACAATTATTAGTAATGGCACATGTTTATGATTTTTTGTCAAAAATATGAAAACAAAAACAATAAAGACTATTTTTTCTTTAAATAGACTCAACATAAGAACAAAATAACACTAAAAATGGATAGTAAAACTAATAAAAAAATATTTAACTCGTTTTGAGATTTTGTGCAGTTTTTACAGACGAATTTTTGGTACTGTGAACCATATTTTGTTCCATGTTTTCCCAACAAATAACTACCATTGCCTTCCCCATTATTCTCTATCAATCCTCCATGCTGCCCTTCGTCATACATCTCCTACTCCTGTGTCACTTTCAAAATTTCTTTCGTTGACATTATCAATATTTTGGTCACTACCAGACTTGTCGGAAGAACTGACTTCAGTTTGTTTGAAAAGACCTGATAATCTATTTGATTATCTTCGTAAGACATTCTAGATCTTTAGCCTGAAGAAAAACCAAAAAAATCCATAAAATAATAAAAATAAAATAAAATGAGTTTGATCAAATTCGTTACAAGTAGCGTAAGGCGGGTGTCACGCACCCGCGGACAGCTTCCACCTCGTCCTCAGTATACCCCGGGCGGCGGTCGCCTGAAACAGTGGCAAGGGACGCTTCCGTATGTCCCTCCGCGCAGCTACTCAAGCGCACGAAGCATAACAACAATTCGTTATTAAAATATTAATCGATTTTTCAAGGTCTGGGTGTACCACACCCAACCTTACGCTCGCCGGGTTAAAGAACATACAAAATATAGGTTCAAACACTCACTTGAGCGGAACGTGATCCGTCAGCAGTGACAGCTGTCCAGTGGTCCGGCCACTGCTCATCGCGCCAGCCGCCTTCGTTGATCATTGGTTCAATGGTGAAGCAATGCCCTGGCTTCATCACACCCACCGCTTTGTTCTCTGGAGAAAAACAATGTAAAATTGAATTGAGATCCTCTGCCTAATATGAAGCCAGTTGTAGAATAAATTCTTTATATTGACTAAAATAATAAAGAGGAAAGATTTAATTGTTTATTGGCATTGAATAGGCTTCAAAACTATTGGACTGATTTGATAAATTCATTCATTACATTATTTTTGATGGCCATATGGCAGTACAAAGTTCGCCAAGTTAGTTACTGAAATATAAGTCAGAAAATCGCAGTGGAATACTCTGATAAGTATAGTTGATTGAGGGACCTTTTTGGCATACTTTTGTGTGAACATGCGTTATTATTTAGTTCTGTGTGCCAAATAAAATTATTCTGACAATCTCAAAAGGTGGCATGACTGTATGGGCTTGATACTTGATATAAATAACTTATTACAATAGGTAATAATAATGACTTACTTGCATAATGTGGCACATTTGGTGCAGTGTGGAACAGCCTATGTATACCATGACCACAGTATGACCGAACTACACTGAATCCGTTGGCTTGAGCGTGTTTCTGTATAACATTTCCTATCTCACGGTATTTCTCTCCTGGTTTTACGATATCAATAGCTTTCATGAGACATTCGTACGTAACTTGCACCAGTTTACGTGTGCTCTCAGGTACATTGCCAACTAGGAATGATTCGTTGAGATCACCGTGGAATCCTCTATGGTAAACTGTCACATCAACGTTGCAAACATCACCATCCTGTAAAAGTAAGCACAATACACATGATTACACACTTTTAATTAATAAGCAGAGCCAAATAAACAAAATGAACCTACAAGGTGATCTTTTTTATTCTACTTATGGATATTATAATAAACACTGGCATCTTATACAGTTGAAGTATGTGTTATCTATAAATCTATAATTTTAATACATATAAAAATGTATAGTATTGATCTGTTAATAACAGTACAAAGTGAAATAAATAATGGAAACTCATCACATCATTCCTCTATTTCTTATTTATAAATAGGAATTATCTCTGAATGATTTTTTTCTGTACCTGTAATGGACGCAAATCTGGTATTCCATGGCAAATGACTTCATTCACCGAAGTACAGCAGCTATTTGGGAAATTGTGGTAGTTCAGCGGGCTCGGGTAGCATTCACGCTCGATGCAAGCTTCGTGCACGACACGGTCTATCTCATCTGTAGTTACACCAACATCACACACTCTGAAATTGAAATATTTACTATTAAATATAGGTCTTAATCATGTAGATTGTAAAAATATATGTCAAATAATACACCAGAAAGTTGTAGGAAAATGTGGATCTTAAGTTGAACATTGTCTAACATGGAACAATAATGATTTCAAGCAAGTAAAACTTTAAAAACAATAACATACTTGGCAGCTTCATCCAAAACTTCTCTTCCCAGACGACAGGCGACGCGCATGCCCTCAATTTCCTCATCATCCAACACTTTGATCTGTCCGGAACCTTTGGCAGCATTCTCAGAAGCCGGGAAACCAGTAGGATGGTCAGCGTAGTCAGGACGGCCAATGTGAGGCGGCACAGTTCGCTTCGGGCCCGCGGGGAAAGGCCTCAGCTTCCCCGTAAACGAGTAAGAAGGCCACGGGTTGTATTCCACATTCGATCCATCTGTACTCTCACCCTCTAAAACAAAGCCAAAATCGTCAATGTAACCGAACACCGCAACATAACCTATAAGCGCGGAACACGTCACTTACTCGCCAAAGAATGGATAATTTTGTGCGATTTCCAAGATTTCTTGAAACAGTCCTGGTTGCAGAAGAATGACCCCTGAATACCCAATTTTATACACGTCGGACATTGTAATTGTGCAACTGATTTGCAGCCGGGTGTTTCACACATTCCAATCGCCGCCATTTTTGTGGTTGTCAAGCTCGCTGTCATCGAGGTTGCGTAAATTGTCAAAACGGACCAATCACAGCGTAGCAAGCAAAAGGAAACGGAACAGTACGACTTTTGAATGCGTTCATGTTAAAAATATTTTTATTAAAAAATACCGCAATACCGTTATCAATGACCGAGTTTCATTAAAATGTGGGAAATTGATGGACTTCTAATTTGTTGACCAGAGCCAGGCAACAGTTAGTCTCGTTACCAAAGGAATATTTTTTTAACAGATAAAAAAATATTTCCATTTATAAACGCATTCACTGACCGCGCAGCGTCGTAGCTCTGTTGCTGCTGTTTTTAAACAATTTTTTTGATTTGCGCCTCTAAACTATAATTTACTTTGAACATTTACATAATTTTCAGTGTGCAGTCAGAATAAAGCGACTAAAAATAATTTAAATTGATAGAGATAGAGTAAGAAGGTAAGGAATTTATAATTCAAAATGTTAAACTAAACTAGTCCTATGTGTTTATTTACCTATTAATATTATTTAAATTAAAAACGAAATGTATGATTACGTTAAAAAGGAATTAATATTACCTTTATCAGTGACTTTTAAGTCACCGATAGGAAGTTCCACTTCAATCATTCTTCTGTTTAATTTCGTTCTGCAATTTTGATAACTTAAGTAGGTAAGAAAGATATAAAATGAGATGAGAAATAAAATAATGTCCTTCCAGAATGCCGGATCGGAGGCAATTCTGCACTTCAGTTCCCTAGTTACTCTTCATGAACGTACGGTAAGTAGGTATCTATCTAGGTAGGTAGGTACTTACTATCTAGTATCTAATTTAATGTAGTAAGAATAGAATAGACCTACTCTACTGTACACCACACAAAAGGCAGTCTTATCGCTATAAGTGATTTCTCTACCAGTTATGAGTTTGCAGTATAAGAGTTACAAAAGAAAAGTTGGTGACCTTGTTATGACTAGTAGAATTTCACAGTTTTTATTTGAAAATATTTAGGATAGAGAAAATTGTTACTTACTGTAAAGGCTTCGGAAACCGTACAACCAACCGTCCGGGGTGTCCCAGGCGCGAATCAAAGCGTTCCTCGACTGCAAATACAGGTAATTACACGACAACACGAAATCACTGCTCATTTCACTTCTAAAAGTTTTACCATTTATCTAATTCCGATTGATTCGAAAAAACTGAAATTTCGCCAAACTTTTCACGTACCTATGCGCTGTCACGTTGACGTGCCGGAGTTGAGTTAGTCTGTGGTTTTGACGTGATTCTTTGTTTAAATCTGTTTGTTGTGCCTAGTTATGACCCAGGCGGAGTACGTAATGGTAAACACAAATTATTTTTGGCCGCTCATTGACCTTCCGACTTTCGATGGAAAGCAATTACGCGTAATGCACTTGTTTAAAAGTATTTTGGTATTGCAAAGCTAGTTACGTATTCTTTTACGTGTTATTATTAGATGTAGGTATTTTACTTCGTAGTCGATAAAAACAACTGATTATACCTAATTACGAGTTCCACACAATAATTTACTATCAACATTTGTACTAGATAACTTATCACGACATTGGACACGTTTAGTAATGCTTCTGTTTAACTGAAAACTGAAATTGTCCAACTTGTGAAACTAACCAGCTGTAGATAAATGGCACATCTCTGTAGATATACCTAATTTACATAATAATTTTACATATTAAGTATTTTATTTTTTTCGCGGTTACTTAGACTGAACTACCTACTGCCTGAAACATTTCAAACTTCATGCCTTCATTCATGAGATCTGCTTTGAAGGATCGCGTGGTGAATCGCCTAGAATGCAGTGGGTTCCAGGTTCGATTTCTGGTTTGGGCACATTCAGAAATCTATTACGTTCGTGTGTTTCCTCTCCGTGTTGCAGAGCCCTACCTAGTATTTTAGCCTATTTGTGACTTTGAGTCCTAACTCCTATTACTCCGATCACCTTTTTGCACTTACACTTGTTTTAAATGATCGCTTAAAATCATTGGTAGAAATCTACGACATCATGAAGTATCTTCACTAGCGGACCTTAGGCAATAAATCCTAAGCGCAAATAATTTTGAAACTATTCAGTCAATAAAATACTTGACAAGGTCCTATGTCGCCTAAATGGGGCAGAGAGCGTCCACAACAGTCCTCCATCGCGTTCGGTCTTGAGCTCAGATCATAGTCTATGATCTGAGGTCTTGAGCTTCGCGCTCTCAGATCATAGAAGGGACCTGAGTTCGCGCTTGATCTCGCTCCAGGTCTTGCCGATAAATTATATACATACTGCAATAAAATTTACCAGAAATTCCAGGTCTTACTGCTAGTATACCTACCTACCTATGCCGCAGGCCCATAATATTTACTATCCTATATTCCCGTCATAAAGAGACAAGGACTTGACCCACTTCACGGAAATTATGCAAGTACCTATTCCCATGGACGTTCCGCTAACAAAACCCATCGTGCCCGCAAACAGCGATCCTATCAGAAGGTAAACAAAATAATAATTTACTTACCTGCCATATAAATGTGTGCCACTTAAGTTTAACGAACTCAGAAGAGGGTCCTGGCAAATTGGGGCAATGTTGCCATTAGGGTTGCCAATGCTGCCTTGTTAACCGGAAACTGGGCATTAACTGGTCAGTTCACTGCACATTTGGATAAAATATCTAAATTCTGTGCACGGTCTTTACAATAACATCGTCCGAAAGTTCGTTAAAATACATTTTTGTCTGATAAATGCTAATGCGTAGCGTGGACCGACGATCTGGTAAAGGTTGCGAGAAGAACCTGGATGCGGGCAGCGCAGAACCGTTCATTATGGAAAACCTTGGGGGAGGCCTTTACGTCATTTTGCTGAAACGAACGAAAATGCTAATGCTTACTACGAGTAAGTATCATAAACCATCCAGACAGTCATCGGCAATGTTCTACGTTCTTTACATGTGCTAGCTACTAAACAAAATTGTATACTTAAGTTAAGTATACCTACTGAAACTGAAACTATGAAACTATGGCAGCAGAAATAAATAAATAAATATTTCTGCTAACACATAGGACTTCCTGAAAAGGCTTATAATAATAAGTACGATTTGATAAATGGAGATACTTATATGCCCACTTATATTTCTGTACCCCCAGTGAAAAGGGATCTAACTCGACTTAGATCAAAATTGACTTTATAACATAATGTGAATCTCTGAAAAATTAGCTATTTTTGTATCTAATCGGTATGTTTCTACGACGTATAGAAAAGAAAATAATTTTGTGCCAAATGATACAAGTAAGGCTTTGTGAACCAATTTTGAGTTTTCTTTCGTGTATATTGATACATGTCTACTTTTAACAAAGTGTACCGGAGGCTTCTTTCAATTTTTTATTGTGTCAAGAGGTACGACTCGTGTTACTACTTTTTACACGATTGAAGTTGTTCAGATTGAATTTGTGATTAACAATATAAGATGACTCATATTAATATACACAAAAAAAACTATGTATTGTTGGTTGGTGAAAAAAGCCTTATTCCTTTACAATCGCCACTTATATCACTTTACACATAATTATTAGGATACTTAGATCGCTATTATGTTAGTTAGATCAGTTTACACATTTTTTTTCTCATCACAAAATTGGTGTATATTGATATAAGTAGAAATTTTTGGACGATTTACCCTAAATAACCTGAAATAATGATTCCTCATAGTGTAATTACTAATGTTTGTTTTACAACTTTTTCTAAAATTAAAGAAACAAAAAAATATCAACAGAAATGGCGTAAAATGTATCACTTTACACTTGTTGGCGGGTGGTCAATTCAGAGTGGTGTAAAATGATTTATGTCCCATTACATCACTTTACACGAATGTAAAGTTGCCGTGCATGGCGATATAACTGGGTTTTTATTTAATTACGAAAAAACTACATGCTATATTTCCCAAACTAGCACACTGCCTAATTATATATAACATTACCTTTCACCTAAAAAATATTTCACCAAGTTATCTCTAATAGCGACGAAGCAGGATTTTTTTTAACTTCAAATGCGATTTCCCAAAAATCACCATTTTTGACTTAACTCCGTTTTCACTGGGGGTACAGATTTAAGCGTAATTTCATATAAGTACCTACTGGCTTAGCTTCTTTGATCAACATGGTAACCCTAGCTACTGACTGTAGCCATAGCGTGGTTGATCGTGCAAACTGCTAGAACAATGAAATTAGTTCACACTCTCGCTCCTTGAAAGTGTACTGTCAACCACTAATTTGCAGAACAAAATATAAGGCAGCTCTTGTATTTGCTTTTATGTATAAGATGGACAGATGTGGCGTCTCTAGGTTTCTAGGTCAAAACAAATAAAGCAGTATCTCTATTATAATAAAATTAGGTATGTTGGGGCAGGAAAGTTCTCGAGTGGAAGACGTAGCGTGGGCAGGCCTCCTACTAGGTGGACCGACGATCTGGTAAAGGTCGCGGGAAGAACCTGGATGCGGGCAGCGCAGGACCGTTCATTATGGAAAACCTTGGGGAGGCCTTTGTCCGGCAGTGGACGTCGTTTGGCTGAAACGAACGAACGAACGAACTAGGTATGTACTCAGTACTCGTATATTTTTATTTTGGAAGTTGTTATTTTTTCTCATAAAACATTACATTATGTCGCTGGAACTTTCCGTTTCGGTAATATTTCAATTTGTTTATCTTTTTGTCGCCAACAGCATCCCACGAAGATAGAGTTAAGTTATGTAAGAGGATGATGACTGGGACAAACTATAGGACTTTGTACCCATGTGAGCCATGGTCTACTTAAAGGTCAACAATATCAGTAACTTACTTTGACCTTAAGGTCCTATGCTATGTCCTCTAGATGGGGCAGAGGGCGTCCACAACAGTCCTCCATTGCGTTCGGTCTTGAGCTTCGCGTTTGATCTCGCTCCATAACATAAACACGAAGCATTGAAAAATAAGTCACCATAGGATCATAGCATAGCACGGAGATGAAGCAGTTGCCCATGTTGTTTCTGCAGCGATCAAACTCATACATTAAAAGTTAGTAGGTATACCTTACCAAAGGAAAAAAGCTAGAATTCAAACGAACCGCAATCTTTAATATCAATCTCAGATCACAAAGCCTACCCAAAAGCCACGATAAATAATCCGAAGCCGCAAAAATATCATTCTCAATAGCCTTAATAAACGTAATAATTTGTGTGTGTAAAGTGGAAGGCGAGTGATGCCGAGATTGCGCGCTAATTTTCCGGCGGCCGGGAGAAACTGGAGATAGAAACTCGAAAAATGGTTTTAGTAAACGAATTTGGGTCGTCTCTTTGATGACTTGTGGATAAATGTCAATACACTCACAATCATGGTTGTTTGGTGCTGGAAAAGTGAAATGGAATTGGAAAAATTTGTTATCATTATAATAATGAAGAAAGTTTTCTTTACCTATTAGGTACCTACTTTACAACGTACAAACTACCATAAAGTTTCGATGACTCTTTTCTAATGCGAACAGCTAGGGACTGGAATTCCTTGCCTGCTGCTGTCTTTTCCGAAGAATATAATCCGGGACTTTTCAAGGCGAGAGTGAATAGGCACTTACAGGGCAGATATTATTATGTACCATCCTAG